ATATATATATATATATGTATAAGATTGAGCGAGTATAGAGATGGGCAAGAAAAAATTGCAAGATCTGAGGGACAAAACATATCAGAAGAGATTGGAGAAAGAGAATATGTATGGCCTGGAGGACAGAAGGGAAAGGCAGAGACATGACTGAAACCTTTAAATATATTCAGGGTATGAATAAAGTTCTAGAAGGCAGTATTTTTAATATTAAAGCAAAAAAAATCAAGAAACACGGGGACATAACCTCAAATTGACATGAGGGAAGTTCTGAAGGAATGATAGAAAGTATTACTTCACAAAAAGAGGAGTGGAAGCTTGGAATTAACTCCCAGCCGAAGCAGTGGTCATCAGTAACTGAATTAACTCCCAGCCGAAGCAGTGGTCATTAGTAACTGAGTTTAAACATGGTTGGGATAAATATATGTCCATCATCTGACAAAAATTAAAATAAGCATAGTAAAAATAAACCTCGAAGGTCAGACTTAATAGACTACTAGATCTTTTTCTGCTGTCAGTTTTTTTATGTTTCTATGCTGAGTAAAGATTAAACTCCCACTTTTGTAAATGAAAATGGGGATGAGCACCATATCGGTCTATGGCTTGACAGGAAAACCCACCGGGAAATGCTGGTTGTTGAAATTTGCTTGGAACACCAACTATACAAAGTTGGCTGTTTTCATCCTCCTTTCTTTGTCCACAGGAACAAATGGAGCAGTTCCTATGTTGGGATCTCCCTATTGAGAGCTTTGTGGAGTCTTTCCAGCACAGCCGCATGCTCTCCCACCTTCGTCGCACTCAGCTGGAGAAGTTGCAGGAGATCCTGAAGGTGGAGAAGGCAAAAACTCCTGAAAAGCCAAGCCCGAGCTGTGAAGAGGAACAGCCTGCAGTCTCCCCAGCACTTCCAACTCCTCCTCCTCCTCCACCACCACCTTCGGCTCAAGCGGCCCCAGCTCAGAATAATGGGCCACCTCCTAAGGTCTTCCAGCTCCGCTTGGCACCAGCATTCTTGATCCCCTCAGAGGCTGTGCTCCCCATCCCCATGACAGCAGCCCCTCAGAAGTGCTGCCTGCCCACTCTGGCCACCTCGCACTCCACCACTAACTTTGTGAGCTCTCCCTTGAGCCTGATTGGGCACATCCATTTGCCCCAGGCACACCTGCCTCACCAGCAGAAGAAGAAAGAGCCGCCGCATCGGTAGCTGCCACAGCACCAATGGGACATTTTGACCAGAGCCTCTGACACCAGCTACGATGGGCCAGAGTCTGAGGTGTGATGCCAGCCTGCCAAGAACTCCACCTTCCCAGACTTGGTGGGAGTTAGGGGTGGGCGTATGGCAGAGAGCTGGCTCCCTTTTCTCTCTGGCTGCCAAAATAATTTAGATTCCATCTCCACTCTTCCCCCCCCCCTCACCATCCCCCACCTCCCCAGGCAGTTTGGCTGGCGGGGTTGATCCAGTGTTAACTCTATGTATAGGTGGCCAAGACCGCAGGGAGTTGTGCCCTGCCTCCCCCTTTCCCACTTGAGAAATAAGGAAAGTTATGTCGCTTCTTCCCCCCTTCTTTTTCGGGAGCCTGAATTCACCATCATGCACTCATTACGCCTATCTCTCGAGTTAGGTGGGGGGGGGGAACCTCTTGCAAACTGCTTGTTGCTTTTCTGGATGCTGGGTGTGATCAATTTCAGGCAGGGCTATCTCTAACCCCCTCCAGGCAGTCGGCCGGCTGATCTTCTCTGTGGCACAAGGGACTCCATTTCAGTAGCAAGTAGGAAGAGAACATACATGGCAGGGGACGGGGGTGGGGGTGGGGAATAGAGCACAGCACATTTCTAGGGGGTGGAGAAAGGAAGGGTAGGCCAACTGCTTGGAGGGGGCAGTTTTTGGAGCTAAATTGGCCCCCTTCCTATTCATTTTTTTCTACTAGGGCAGGGGGGGTGTCTGCAGATGAAGTGGGGAGGGGGTCTATTGATGTGATGGGGAGGGGGTTTGAGGTTGCAAAGCACAGGGTAGAACATTTTAGCCCAAAGTTTATGCCACGGCTAGAGAATGGGTTAGTACCAGCATAGGCACACGGTCTCAACAGGGTATGCATAAACGGGAGAGATGAGGCAGCCCCACGATGCTCTAAGGGGAACATGCCTTCCAGGATGGGTGGGGGAGGGAGCAAGGAAATATTTTCAAGCAAACTTTTCTCTTGATGCGATGTGCTTGCTTAAAAAAAACAAAAAAAACTGAAGGATGAAATTCTGGGGACAGCAAGGAGGGAGATTTGAACTGGAAAAAAAATTAAGGTTCTCCTAATTTTAATCCCTTCCCCTCAAGCAATTATAGGTGTGATTGGACTTAGAGGGTACAATGCAGGTGACGTTAGCTATACCGAGATCCCGAGTGCCATTGACTACCTATCCAGTCTCCAGAAAAACCTTCCTTGATTAGAATGTAAAATGGATCACTTTTTATATTCGCCTCTGTGGAGGCTGCCCGCAGTATCTCTGAGTGAGTCACTGCTTTTGGATTTTCCTCTCTGCAGTGGCCTTCCAGGTTGTGGATAATACAGTACTGTTATTTATTTCCCTGCTCAGGGATATAAGGGTGCATTCGGCCATTCCCAGCAGACAGCCCTGGCTCTCTTGACCTCCTCAGAGCTGGCCAGAAAATAAATTACCCTCTTCAGGCTGAGATCAAGGTTGTTTGTAACACTTTTCTACAAAACTGAATTCCAAAAAGATCAAAATTCCCAAGCCTTGAAATGTCACTTTCAAATATCAAAAAGTTCTTCGCTTTTCGCTTCTGTGCAATGAGATTTTGTTTCAGCTCCAGCAAGGCTGAGTTTGTGAAGACCCATATGGCAGGACACCCGTTTAGAGAAGGGCAGCTGAGCTAGCATGGGGTTGTGGCAGCCAACTGTGCCATTCCCTTTAGAGCAGGATTGCCCAAGTTGACAACTTTAAGATGTGTGGACTTCAACTCCCAGAATTCCCCAGCCAGCCATGCTGGCTGGGGAATTCTGGGAGTTGAAGTCCACATGTCTTTAAAGTTGCCAGGGTTGGGAAACTGCAGTAGAGAAAGGGACTTTGGGTGGCTTGTGATTAGAAAGTATGAAAGGTGTGGCTGTGAGCTGGAATTCAGTAGACAGATTGCCCAGGCTCACCAAGTGAGGAATGGCTACTTCCTGCCTCAGTGGGTAATGATGTCCTGCAACTGAAGCCACCACAGCCGGTTTGGAGGGCTGGGGTTGGTGGAAATTGTGCCAGGAAGGACCCATTGGGCATCTTTTTTCAAATCCTGGGTTGCAAAACCAAGCCCCTAATCTTTGTACGAAAAGATTAGAAGGCAGGAATTTCTCTTGCAATGGGGGAAGCGCTTTTAGAAAAGCCTCTGCCACCATTTCCAGTTTTGGGGTTTTCAGTGTTCAGACTTGATTTTTCTTTATAAAAAAAAAAAAGAACAGTGAAGGAGGTGAAATCTAAATAAGTATCTTATTTTTCCTGCCACCAAATATCAGGGCATTTCCCAGCTCACAAAGGTACTGCTGCAGTCATCCTGGGAACTTAATAGCAGTCTTCATGGGAACTGGAGCAGAGAGTGGACGGTGGAGTTAGGAGGAGGACCAGAAGGGTTATCACCATGAAGGAAATAATCTCTGCTCCTGTATGAGATGCTGCCAGCATTCATTCAGGATCTTCCAGAACTGAAACCCTTTCTTAGTCTCGCCCCGATTAGACTTGGAGGGTGGTCTCCGATTTCTCCCCTAAGCTAGAATGTAAACGATCTCCTATTCAGCTCCAATCTTTTATATTTTCTCCCATTAGATTCACCAGCCAGTCAGTACAATAACATATTGTCTTCGGGCGAAAACCCAGACAGCAGGGTTTTGAACGACGAGTACAGCGCGCAGGGTGGGTGGGTTGGTATGTGAGGCAAAGCCATGTAATGCAATCCATCCCTGAGAACTCCACACACATACAAACACACAAACCTTCCTATCTCTTCAGAGGTAAGATGCTGGACAGCTAAAATAAAACATTGCACCAACTCGGATCTGAAATTCCAAACTCCAAAATTCAGTTGGAAAAGAAACTCCGTTTCCAAAACTCTGGTTTTAATACAAAAAAGTATCTTTGGCCAGAAAACGTGAGCCAAATTTTTGTTTTGAAGTATTCATTGGCCAAGTTTACCATTTCACAGGCAGTTTTTTTCCCCCCTTGTATCCTTTAAGTCCAGCAGCATCTATAATTCATGTGGATGGGTCACACTCAAGGCCCAATGTATCTAGTCTGGCATTTTCTTTGTAACCGTCGCAGCCAATCGGAAGCCTCGGGAAAGCCTATGAATGGAGCATCTTTCAGTAGTTTGCCCCCAGCAACTATTTCTTAAAGGTATACTGCCTCTGAAATGAGAAGATCTGCTTTATGCTCTCATGTCTTACAGCCAATGTTAGACGCCTCATTCATGAATTTGCTTCCATGGTTTAATTACGAAAAAAATAAAAAAGAATAGAGGAAGAGGGCATTACATTAGGAGAATATTTGTGCCAGCGTTTACAAGGATGTTTGAGTTATCGACATTTGCTTGAAAATTTCCACTCAAATCTATTTCAGCTCCCAAGAAAAAGGGAACAAGAGAAGGCCATTTCTCAAGTATATGTTCATTCATTTAAATGCATGCAAATTTAAAGTCACTAGTTTTCTAGCATTGATGCTGAATTGTTTTTATTTTTGATGGCTAGGTTCAAAAACAAAATAGCCTGCTGCGATAACCTGGTTTGGCCCTTGCAGGTGCCCAGATCCTGGTTTTCTTCGGTGGGAAGCAGGAGTGGGTTCTCATTGACCAAGAGATCAAACCGGTCCTACCATCGAAAACAATCCTCAGTATCTCAAAACAAGCCTAGAGGCCACAACACGCTCTTGGAATGTAAATCTGCTCCTTCAATTTTACCACAAGATGGAAGGGACAGGAGGGGAGGAGGGGCCATTTCCAGTCTCCTCTACCTCTCGGACTTCACTGGATCCCCTCCCTCAATGACGTAATGCACAAGCCGGAACTGGTTCTTCTTCTTCTTCTTTTATTTTCTCTTTCCTTTGGGGACTTTGCTGCAAAACTTTATACATGTGTGAAAGGGGGAGGGGTGTCTTTCCCAGAGGTCATCCGATTCTGGCAGTGCCCCCAGCAGCTTCAAGGTAGACCTCATGCTGTCTTCGTGAACGTTTTTTTCCATGTAATGTTTTTTGGAAACATAAGTGTGGAAACATAAATGTGGAATATATATATATATATATATATATATATATATATATATATATATATATATATATATATATATATATATATATATATATATATATAATATTAAAATATTCTTTGGAATAAATTTAAATACTACATTTCTGTATGCAGCGTTTTCAAAGCTTGTTATTCTATATGTGGGAAAGGCACCTCGGAGGGCCATGGTTTTCGCAGGAAGGCAGAGTATGTATTGCTTTTGTCTTTATGTTGGGGTTCCCTCAGCAGGAATTTGCAAGACTCCAAGGTCTCCCCATACACTTGCTGTGGTTAAATATTGCGATCACCCCAAATAATCATATTGGGGTTTAATATTATGTTGGTTCCCATGCTGAATTACCAACCACTTGATGCTATTTTACTAGTGTCTAGCATTTTATGCCAATTCAGAAAGTTACTACATTTACCAGTATGGTTGCACATTCAGATCCATCACTTATTCATTCTGGAAATATTCGTGCCAGTCTACGGGCAGCCTTTGCCAGCTTTGTTTGAAAGCATAACATGACTCGGCTTTTCCTTATTATGTATTGTCTTCTCCTACCCCTAGGCACCGTATATCCGAGTCACAAAAACGTCCCTCGGAAAAATGAATTATTCGTTATCTAGCAGCTCAGATATAAACGTCTTTATAAAGCTGAAGTGAAGGGCTGCTGGATAAATGTCAATGCGTTCCTAAATCAGTGTCTCTTAATCCTGGCACGTTTACAATGTGTGACTTCAACTCCCAGGAGACCCCAGTAGTAATTCTCACTGGGGAATTTTGGGAGTTGAAGTCCACACGGCTTAAATTTGCCTATGTTGAGAGATACTGGGGAGAGTATCTGTTTGAGCATAGCCTTCGGGGAAAAGAAAGGGCCATTTAAAAGCTGTAGCAGTGCCCTCTACCAATCATATGAAAACCCAGCTGAGAGTTCCACAGGTGCCAGGTAAGAGGCTACCCGAGAGGTTTCATTCCAAGGGATTAAGACCAACATAATCCCCTGGGAGGCAGCACAATTTTCTGGCTATTGCTGTAAATTAAGATTTGGCTGGAGCACCAGGTCAGCTGAAGGCGGGAAAGTAGGTGGGAAGATAGGAATGGACCCTGATTGAATAAAAAGTATTGTTTGTGCCCCGAAGCACATTGAATTTGGCTGCTTCTCCAGGGTCCTGAATGGAAGTAAATAAGCAATTATGACTTGGACTGGATTCGTGCAAGAGCTCAATTTCATGCAAGATCTGTTAAAAAGAGTAGATACCATATCCATGTTCTAAATAAAACAACTTATGATATCAATAGATTGGTCTGGATAAGTTACCAATTGGCACCTGCCATGTATAATAGGGAGTCAGTGATAATTGACTTATCCCTAGAAGATTGCTTTGAAGCTTGAGAAAAATGTAAGCAAAACAATTAGGAAAAAATAATTACACTGTCATGCTTATTCTTATTAATTGCTACTATTAATACAACAATATTATTTATAGCCTTAGACCCCTGCAATTGACAAGTACAAAACTTAAAAAAAACACTATTACTTCCCCAGAGCCCTGAAATGAATAAATAATTCTAATAAGAAAGAACAGTATTAAAAAAGAGTACGTTTATCTCTTTATCACCTTGGTATCTGTTGTTTTAAACTGACTGCAAACTGAATTTAATCCTGGAGATCCAGCTGGAATTCTCGTTCATATCCTTCAGGGTTGTTGTGTAGATGAATTGTGATCATTGAATTCTATGCCAGAGAGATAAGATAAAAGTAGAATTGACTTCAGTTCCTGAGTCATAGATAGACGCACACACTAAGGAAAGCATTTTGGTACAGAATGCCATGATTGATCCCAATGGGCATGAGTAAGAAACACTAATGAATTTCCTTTCAACTCAACTGTGTTGGGTTTCAAGACATAATTTTTTTGTCCTTTTCTAGAAATCCAGTATCAGGTAGATCTTTGTAATGGTTAACTTCTCAGGTGTGCTTAAGGATCTGAGAAAACAAAGGAGGGGAAAGGCCCTGGGATTAAAATCCAGGGAGACAGGATTTTATCAGGAGGAATAAAAAGTGCATTGAAGAGTGACCATTGGTGGTGAACAGGGAAAATAGATGGGTCTTGTATTCTAATCAAGCATCCAATGACTGAATGAATAGATTCTGCTTGAGCTAAACTGGAGGGGCCCTGTGTTCGAATAGGATTCAAAGAATACACTAAACTAATGTTTCTCAACCTTAAGTTGTGTGGATGGAAAATTCTGGGAGTTTAGGTCCACATATCTTAAAGTTACTGAGGTTGAGAAACCCTACACTAAAACAAAAGCAAATATTCCAAAGTAGGGACATTGTCTGAATCCAGTAATGATGCCATTGGGCACATGATATGAATTAAAGGCAAATTACATTATTCACATGGTTTGTTGGATGACATAATGGCCTACATGATGTCACTTGCTCCCCTTGCCAGTTCTATGGACATCCGTTTATTATTTTCCGTCTGATGCCATTTGATAGTTGCTACAAAATGAGACATGCCTAGAATTGGAAAATTGGGCTGCTCTGGCATTTATCCTGTTTGGTTGCAATAGTATTTAATATCTCTGATGCTTATAAAAATAACTTGTCATGTATTGCTCAGGTTTTTTTGCACCCTGTCTGCCATGTCGATCGTGGCATGGCATTAAAATGTTCACAAACATTTCAGATACTATTTGGGCCAGGTAACTGGTTAGTGAAGCTGTCATCTGTGTTCACCTAATATCTAAATATAAACAAGCCAACAGGATTGGATTTAAAATCTAGACACCATTCCCCAAGTCTAACCCATATTACTGTCACTAAGCTTAGTAAATCAAATCAAGTTTTTATTAAGAGTGGTAGGCCAGCATAAGGAGGATGGGACACAGTCAATTGAAAAGCATAGAAGGTATGTCAGATCTAAAAAAAATATATGAAAATGTGAAAAAATATTAAAGCAGAAAGTATACGGGCAGTCCTTGTCTTAACAACCACAATGGAGAGCAGAATTCCCATTGCTAAATAAGGCAGTTGTTTAAGTGAGTTGCACCCATTTTGTGACCTTCTTTGCTATGGTTGTTAAATGAATCACTGCAATACTTAAGTAACGCACATGGTTCTTAAGCAAAGCCGACTTTCCCCATTGATTTTGCTTGTGGGAAGCCAGCTGGGAAGCTGCACTTGCCAATGATGATCACCTGACTCTGGCTATTTGCAACCCTCCTAAATACTGTACATGCAGGTTGCCAAGCACTCAAATTCTGATCCCGTGACCCCGAGGATGATGCCATGGTCACAAATGTGCAAACTGGTCATAGGTCATATTTTTCAGTGCCGGTGTAACTTTGGTCACTAAACGAATGGTTGTAAGTCAAGGACTACCTATTCGTGAAAGTCTATGAGAAACTAAAAGAAATGGTAGGACTAAGCTTACTATGTTTTGAGAATGCATCTTCTAGATCTTCACTGAATCTGATTAAGGATTTTTTTTTTTAATTTCTGTAGTCAGGAAGTAGTAACTATACAAGAGGGTTTGAAGAAAGGGGGAGGTTAGGGAAGATGATCTTCTAGATCAGGAAAGGATAGTACAGTGTTGGGAAAAATAATTAGAAGCTAAGAAATAACAGGAATTTGATGTCCATCAAAGCAGTAACCTGACAACATTTGCCTTGAAGCAACTAGTTTCCTAAGTAAATTGGGGTGGGTGGGTGGGGGTTATATTTCTCTTTCCTCCAACAGATTCCCTTTATATTGTCCTCAGAACAGTCCTGTGAGTTGTGACTCAGAACGCGTGTCTGGCCAGAGTCACTCCTGGTTGTGGGTAGACTTGAAAGTGGGCCTTCCTGGCCCAGCTCCAGTCCTTGAACACTCCACTCCAGTGGCTTTCCATTAGGCTCAGTTTTTCCTTGGTGGCCGGGAGCCAGCACACAAGGGAGCTGATGCTTGCATTTTTAAGCTCAGTATTAAATTCCACACAGGCTGGGATCAGTTGGAAGGACTTGGGCCAGCAGCCTGGAGCCCTCCAGGATAAATGGACAGGGAATGTTCAATCTCACATAAATCTGCATTGCCAAAGGCTCATGCGCATAGAATGGGAGCAGCTGGCAGAGAGTTCCCTTGGCACGGCCAGCTATGCTGTTTAGGGGAAGCACCAGACAAAATATTGGCAATAAATAGACAAACGGATAAACAGCGACATTTTTGAAAGCGGGGGGGGGGGGAAGTATTTTGAATATTGCTACTAATAAAACATAAAATGTGCATTTGATTAACAACCACTGGATATAACCACAAACCAACAGCAATAATAAGAAAACACAGATAAAGGCAGAAGACATAGAGACTTTATTTCTTAAGAGTCCAGGTAATTTTAGGGAAGACTCTTGAAGGGAGATCCATCCCATAATTCAAGACTATGTTCCAGGCTGTGTTTCACTTTGTTTGCCAGTAGAAAGAGAAGGCTTTCTTTATTATTTATTCATTTACTGGGACTTATAAACCACTCTAATGCAAAAGGACTCTGAGCTTCCCACTTTTACTATTGGCGATTCATGCACCATGGAGTTTTTCATTAATATAGCTTTGAAACAAATTCACAACCTGGTTAAAGAGGGATTTCTCCAAACTTCCTGAAAATTCCTTTCCTGAAAACCTGACTTTGCTTTTAGGGGTTAAGATGATTGGTGAGCCCGTTGGTTTAGGGGGGTGTTAAACTGTTATTCAGGACATGCACTTTTTTTTCTTTTGTTGTTGTTCATGACTTTTAATATGTAATCTTCTGAAAATTGTTTAGAATGGGGTAACCTTTAAAATGGCAGGGAAGGAAGGAAGGAAGGGAAGAGTTGAGCCTCTTTTGCAGTTCTAGTGGTGTTTATGATACAGCTAATGACTTCCAGATCTCTTATTTGCTGAGTTGCCATGCAGAAAA